GGACCCAAGATCTCAGAGCAGCCCTCTTGAGTCATGGAGATGAGAATGGTGCAAAGAGCAGCTCTGCCCCACGATGCACAGGCCACCTGTCACTTCAGCGGCCAGTCCCTCCTTCCGCTCCCCAACAGTCCACACTGCCTACTGTGAGACCATCTACAGCCCGCAGGGAGGTGTCCACCAGCAACTCCTCTCTCCCACCCTTCCCAGCTAAATCCTCTAATTTACTCTAGAGAGATAAATAAACAGGTTAATTAGCCTAAAGGTCTCTGAGTGCCAATTAACACTAGGGATTTCCTCTTTGAAGACTTCACCCTAGCCTTCCTTCCTTCCTTACTCCCTGAGGACATCAAATGGCAGGTGCCTGGGGTGAGGGGAAGTAAGGCGGGGCAGGGTATTCAGTAGCTCCCATTTTCCCTTCCCCATGTTCCTTTATGTCCACCAGCTTTCAGTGCGGTGTTTGGACGGAGTAGCTAGTTCTGCCCCACTGCTTTTTGGAGCACTCATGACACAGGGAAAACAGTTTCCTATTGCTTCAAGTGTGTTGGACTTTGCTTTTCAAAATTTAGTATCCACAGACTTTCAAAGAAGCCTAGGTTTGACTCCTAAAACGTATCCTTTCCCAGCTGTGTGTCCTTGGACACATTACACATTACCTAATCTCTCTGATCCTGGTTTCCTCAGTGCTAAAATGAGTCTACCTGGTGGACTGTTGTATAATACTAATGAAAGTTGAGAATCAACTAACTGAGGCTTGATTATGGCCTTATTTGCACCTGGATCTAAGCTTCCCAGGAAATTCCAGGGGCACACATGCTGCTATTGGAGCTACCAGGAGCTGCTGTCAGAGCTGGGAGGGACATGGGATGAAGAAAGGAAGGACAGAGGAAGTTGCAGTTTGAAAAGTCAGAATATTAGCTGGGTTCACCTCCATTGCTCCCCTCTTCCTTGGTAAGGAAACAAGCCCAGAGAGGAAGCTTGAATCCCTAAGGTCACACAGCAGATGCAGGCAAACCCAGGGCCATCAGTTCCTTGGGTTTTGTTTCTCAGGCATCTGTCTTGGGCTCCTACTCGTAGAAATACTCATCACTGGGCCCTGGGTTCATTTTGAGACGGAGGGAGAAGATTAAAAATAAAACGCATGCCGGGTGTGCCTTTCTGCTCGTTCACTTTGCTTTTCAGCTAAAAGGAAAGTGGTGGGCCTGGCTATTTATAACTAACCCAGATCCACATGGTTTGTTCAAATGGGGGTAGGGCACACAGACCCCAAGGAAACAAACCAGAGAACCCCACCCAGCTGGGCCACAGCCTGAGAATCAGTGCAGGGAGGGCAATACAGCTAGAGTACAGAGAGGAGCCAGTCAGGACAAGGTGACACCCACACAAGCCAGGCCTTTAGCAGTCAACAGCCCAGAGATGAATGAGACACCCCACCCCAAACTGGGGAAGTAGGAGGACTAGTGGGAGAGGCAGCTGAGGACAGGTCATTATGAAACAGGTTGTCACATGTGTAGAGGAGGAATTCCAGGGTCCTGGGGGCTCTGGAAGTGCAGGAAGGCAGGTCCATGGAAACTAGGCCTCACAGAGGTTGAGAAAAGTCTAGATGGGCAGAGAGGTAGAGGGACCAAGGTATGTTTGGGGGAGGACCTCCAACCTGGCCTCGCTGCTGTTTAGGGCAGGATGGGTTTAGTGGCTGAGTCAGAAAGTTCCACCAGGATTGAAGATAATAGATGCCTTGGATATGGAGCCACCTGTAATTGAGGCTCAGTCCTTTCCTGGGGGATAGGTTGACAACACCTCACCCTGTCCCTGCTGAGTTGTGGAGGTACCTGGTGGCTTCAGTCATCCAGTCCCCAGCTGTTGTCTCCAGTTCTGTTCTTCTGGCCAATAAGGACTCAAGATGCAGTGGTGGCCCCCAGGTTCTGGTCCCAGATCTACCTATTCCTGCTGTGGAGTAGGAACTATGAATCCTCATCTGGCAACCTGGGTCCACCTCACAGTGACCCACCTATTCAGCTTTATTTTTGTCTGGCACCATGCCCTGGACTCTAGACACACTGATACCACCTGTTCCTATGTTTGCTTGTGGGTGTGTTTCTGTGTCCTCAGCTCTCTTGGCCTTCCAGTAACACAGAACATGGATAACTGCTTCTTCTCCCTCAGGACACTCTTCTGGCAACTTTAGAACCATCCACTGCCTCATTTCCACCTCTCCACCTGCTCCTCCATCTTCTTGGCAAATGCCATGCCTTCCACCAGTGGCTTCTCTAAGATTCCCTCCTTTGTCTTTACCTTCTTCCATCTTCTCTCTCCCCCTGGACCACCATAGAGCACCCTGCTAACTGCTTCAACATTGTCACCTAACATACTCCATGTCCCTGTAATCCCACAGCTGCAGAGGGCCCTAAGCTTAACTAGGCCTCATGGGCTGACTACTTTAAAAAAAAAAATTTTCTGGATTGACCAATTGATGTTTTTGTTATTTGATTATGCCCCATAGCACAACTCACATGGTCTGTGGGACCATCCTTACTATAAATAAATATGAAACAAAAACTTGCTGTCCACCTTCTCACCTAGACAGCTACTGTTACAATTCACCAGTGGTTCTTAGGCCAACAACCTCAATCTTACTGAGGACCACCAGCCACATGTGACTGTACTTAGCATCCTTGCTGGCTCAGCCATGCTGGTCTTCTCTGGGTTTTCCCAGGCCTCCAGCTCCTTCATGTCTAGTGTCATCCTCACCTTAAATCTCTCGTCTCTCCAAAACCCCATCACTGGCCACTTCCTCTCCTGCTGTAGCCTCAGCCCAGGCATCTCTTCATTCAGGAAGTTGACCCAGTGCTCAATGCTCCCCTTGCCCTATGCCCCCAGAGCCCCAAAGAGTCACCTCCAACAGCTTCAGATGACTATAATGTCTGATTATTGTTCTGCTTTTAGTCCCTGCCACAAGCATCTAACAGGAAAGGTCAGGGTTTGAATCCTAAAACTATGCCTACAACTATGCCCTGAATGGAAAAGGCCATCAGTAAAATATTGCTTCATGAATGAATATGATCATTAGTTTGACACCACGTCAGACATCCCTCTCACTTTGAGGTGATCACCAGGGCCAGGCCAAGGCAGCAATCAACCCCAGTGGACCTCTCCAGGGGCTAACCAATTCCCCTATGGCTGGAATGCTGTAGTGTTATCTTACTCTCGTATCTAGGTTTGCCCTGCAGAAGCTGTCCGCTAACCCCAATCCTGCAGTAGAAACTATCTCTGGCAACCTCTGACCATAGCTAATGTACATTTCCTATACAGATTAACCCTCAAAATTACCCTCTGAGACAGAACTTTAGACAGATAAGGAAGATGAGGCTCAGCCCAGTTCCACCGCTCTGACCTCTGTATAACACTCTGGAGCAGGGACCTGAACTGACATAGGCTCATGACTATGAAGATGGAAGAAAGCAGGGATGAAGGAGGCAGTCTTAGTGAGGGAAGCCACTGGTGGAAGGGATGGCATTTGCTAAGAACATGGAGGAGCCCTGCAGCTTCTGGCCAAATTACTTTGGTCCTCATTGGCTACCTCCACAGAACAGTGTGCCACATCTAGGTTGGCCTCAGTGATGCCCATAATGAGTATTTGCCCTGTCCCTAAAAGTTTAGGCGGCACCTTGCTAAGTGGGCTAAGTGGGCTGTGACCCTACTGTATGTAGTGAAACAGTCTCCATTTCATAGCAGAGAAAGCATTCCAGGGAGGTTACGGGATGATTTCTTGGGGCCAGAGTACCGAACTGGTAGAGCCTAAAATTTGCCACTGCTTTCCAACCTCAGATCTGGCCTGGGGGTGAAAACGCATCAACATCTGCAAAAGGCCAGTTCCAATACTTCTGTTCAACGAATGGGGTGATCCAAGTAATCTGACTATAAAGATGTAAAGCAACCAGTAAGGTGTCAGATGGCACTGCACCTGCATTTTACCAGAGATGCTCTAAAATGCACAGCTTCAGTTTACAAGGATGAAAAAGACAACAGCATTCATATCCTGAGGCTCTGGCCTGAGTCTTTTAAGCACTGAACTGAGGTACTCCTGTTCCTGAGGCCCACAGATGGGCTCCCCTTGAAACTGATATTTGGCAGCTTATGCTCAGTGCATTTTGCTGAGGGTCCAAAGACGCCAGTGAGGGGCTGGCCTTCACTAGCTGGCTTCCTTCTGCTTCTTTGGGCTGGGGGCCAGCTCGTAGGCCCTTCTTCCTCTCAAGGCAACCTTTCTGTGGGTCAGGATTGCCAAGGATCCTGAAGACACGCTAGGAATGAGCGCAGCAGAGATGAATAATGCCACCTGCCATTCTGCACAAACCTCACCGGTGTGAATCTTTAAGATTTGCACAGGCCTTTCGCACGTCCTTGAGGACCGTCGCGACAACCCAGGAAAGCAGGTGCCACTAACCCCACGCAGGATAGTCGGTTGACCACGGTTGCAGAGCTGAGGGACCAAGCTTGAGTTCGAACCGGGTTGGGAGAAGGCGAACGGGGACCAACAGCGGTGAAGGGGTAGGGGCTACCGCTGCTGCGAGGGCTTATCGCCGTGGCTGCAAGAAGCCGCCTCGCTGGATGAGCGCCGGTGGTCCCGAGCTGCACAGGACGCTGGCGCGGGCAGCGTGTGCAGAACTGCGGCGCGCGCCGAGCCTCGGACCCGCCCTATCTATCCCCATTGGATTTCCGGTGCGTCCGTCAGAAGCCCTACCCAATAGGCGATGAGCCGGCGCTTGTGGCGGGGGAGGCGCCCGGCGCCTGATGCCCGGCGGGCGTGCAGCAGCCCCCCCACACCCCGTCCGCGGTTGGCCTGGCAACGTGCTGCGCTCGCGGCTCCGCCCCCTGCCGGCGGCGGCAGCGGCGGCGGCGG